TCGCATCGTTCACTGATCCAGAGCTTTGAAAATGGTGTCCGCCTTAAAGTCAACCTTAGAACAGCACAAAGATCAAATGTATCGCTTAAGGTTCGGTAAGGTTTTGGGAATCATGGATAATGATTTTACATCTCAGCTGGGATTTGACTGTGGTATAGTAAACACTGAAATGTGTACTAATTCTTACAGACACTTTTTGCCAATCTGGAGACAAGTTTAATTGGATAAGACCTGGAACAAGACCAAAATTAATTTGCATGCTGGTGTAGGCTTGTTTATGCTGGTAATAGTCGGGTTGATGCTGGTCTGGTGGACCAGCACAGACGTGGTCTTTAAGTGGACTTCAAGTCAAGTCATGACCGAGAACAGAATGGGGTTGAATCCATGTTGAAGTCAAAACAGAGACCTGAAGAGGGTCTGAATATCTCATGACAGTGTATGCAGACAAATATGCTTTCCTTTGGGGTGAATGAAGCCTGGTTTCATGTTAGTGTTACGCAAACCTCCACAGTGCACATACAGTGTGTTCCTGTCAAAAGACAAGATAGCACAGACCGGATCATATTTGCAAGCCAACACAGACTACAAAACGTAGCTGCAGTGTACAACAAGTAGTTGAATCTGGTCTCAGGTCCAAGTCAAAACCGAGTTCAAGTCCAAAAGCTCTTGAGCCAATAACAAGACCAAGACTGAAAATAATTGGGTTTTGTTTGGTTTATTTATTTATATAGAACTACTAAAAAAACCCAAGGGTTACCAATAGTGCTTTACATAAAAAGCTAAGAACCAAAAACAGTCAAACAGTCAAAATATGGCCTTGGACTCATGGCGGACTCCGGTCTCAAGTACTGCAACACTGGCTGGCTGACCAAGATGAAACACCAGCGCATCAGCAACCAAAACAGGTCATGCTGGATTTCAGGTTCAGCAGGGATATTCAAAGACATTAGTATTCCAAAACTTCAAGCACTATAAAATCCACCTCCACTTCTCAAAAGCAGAAATAGGATATCTCAGATTACAGACCCAATAACCATTACATGTCTCGTAATTAAACAAACGCTGGTGACTTTCTCATGGACAACAATGACTGAACTGTGCTGCCGGATTTGCTATCTGGAAAGTTCTGGATGCATAATAAGGTTGATTAAGGAACACAAAAGGAAAGGTTTTGAGTCATAATGCCTTCTGATACCTTACTGCTAGGCTGCTTGTATTCTGTAGTTTGAATGAAGTTACGCAATGACTAGGCTAAACGAAATATTCCAGGCTATTTTTAACCCACTGTCTGTGGCCTTCTGTCAGTAACCTCTAACAGTAATTTTGATTTACCCCTCCGTAAATGAGCGAATGAGAAACTACCAGACTTTGAAAGTGTAAAATTGCATGTTGGCATGTGAATGGTGGTTGTTTACCAACCCTTTTCTCCCTTTTGCTTGGTATCTAGTGCAAGGGACATAAAAGCGATGTTACATAACTATTCAAAAATCACTCACTGCATCCTAATTTGCATACAATCTGTCCTGAATTGTATGCATGATTAAAATTTGCATCCTAAATAATGGTAGACCTGTGCTGAAAATAGTATGCCAAAGATGCCCAGATGGTGTACTGTTTCAGTGGATTTTTTTAAGTTAAAAACTGATTCCAAACTATAGTGGATTGCTTGTCTTAATTTGCCACCATGCCGGTTGATTTCTACTAGTCAGGCTAGTCTGGTTGTAGTTTTGGGCAGCTGAACACCAGCTAAACAAGATTAAACCATCTAAGTCCAGAAAACAAACATTTGTCTTTTTTTTTTCCAAGGAGTTGCCCACAACCATTTCAAGATAAGTTTGTGAAGCTATATGATTAAGTGGAGTAATGCGAGGTGAAAGTAATGATTAAGTATTTATGCTGCTAACGCTTACATTCAAATGTAAATCTCAAAGCATAATTTATGATGTCCCCCTTATTACTTGCTCAAAATGTACTCATCACCACTGTTTGCTTAATTAATAAACAAGATTTCAGTTTAGTGATTTGAGAAAAAAAGAGCATTACAATTCTAGTTTTAAACCCTGCAGAACACTCTCCTGCTAGAACTAACAGACTCACTAAATTTCCCATTTATTTTTTTAAACTGAAAGAACATCGAAACAAACCCAGTATTATTTTACTTTTTTATCTTGTTAAAATGCAGAACAGTGTTTCAGATGTTTGTCTGATCATCCTGAACTAGCACCCTGCAGGCCAAATCCAACCCATCAATCGTTTTTACACATCTTCCAATTGATTTGGATGAAATCGCTATGCGGCCTGATATATGAGAGCACTCGGTGCACAAAATTCAGTGAGATCAAAAGTACTCAGTGGTCATTCAATTAGCAGACCAAAGTTAACATCTGGACCAGAACGTTTTTAAACTCTTTCTGGATGTAGTTCAACTACTGTAGATTACCAGATATTACCTGTCATTGTTTTGGCATCATACCATCAAGTTTGGTATGAAATCATAATTGCTTTCGAGTCAGACCTTGTGAAGACATTTCTGTGCATTAACTAAGGATGGGTCACAATAGTTAACAGGTCATTCAACTGTTTTTTTTTTTAAGACTGTTGCAGTTTTAGGATGGTATGTCAACCTAAAGTTGGCATGAAATGAAAATTCAATCTATATTCTAAATGCATATTATTGATCGTATTGTGAACAATTCAGCCATGCATGTTTTTTTTTTTTCTTTCTAGTGATATTTGCTGGATTTCTCCAATAATTTTGTCCTCATAAACAAACGTTCTTACAATTAACTACAAGCTCGCATTCAGATTTGCCTCCATCCAATTAAAGGGGGCATATGATGCTATTTTAAAGATAATTATTTGGTGTAACAGAATAAAAAGCATGTTGACATGCTTTAATGTTCAAAAAACACATTATTTTTCAAATACTGTACATTATTGTAGGTCCTCTATGCCCCGCCTCTCTCAAACACGTCATTTTCAACAAAGC